GAAGGGATATCTGCGGAGCTTTAATCTTGATCTGTTTCTTTTCAAGACACCTGTCAGGCTGAGGGAGGGGCTTTTTTTGCAGGCGTGAATAGTATTTTACTTTTCTTCAGTTTGGTAATAATAGAGTATGTGGACATTGCTTGTTCAAACCACAGGACAGTCACTCATCTGGTCAATGAGCTTCTTCGTTAAAATAACTAATTGAGCAGTGTTGGCATTAAATTGGAAGTCAGTAAAGTATGAATACCACAAAATTAGACAATTCTTTAGTAAACGTGCATGGACAGGGAAATTACATGAAATTACACTGATTTTGAATATATTTTTAAACAACCTCTGTTAAAATGTCTTACTAGTAATTGAAAAAATATCTAATGCTAGCACACTAACTGCTTGTATTAATTCAGAAATGACTTGCTAACATTAAGCTAAATTAGTTTGTTAACCCTAATTCAAATGTTGTAATTGTATTATGAACATTTTATTTATTTATTAATCCAGGCTATGTTTAATAAAGTGAGCTTGCTCATTTTCATTTGATTTAGCATTTATATTTAGCCTTTAGCTGTTTAAAACGATTTATGTCCCATCGTCTTTGGTTTTCCGCACTCACCTTTATATTAATGGTGTGTGTGTTGCAGCACTGTGTCGTCCATCCTGGGCGCGTGGCTGGACCAGTACTCTGAGGACTTCTGGACCCCCCCCACCTATGACTGTCTGCACCAGCTCATGTCCTACCTCCGCCTGCACTTCCCCGGCTCGGACCTGGAGCGCCGCGCCCGCAACCTGCTGGCCCACTTCCACCGCCGGCAGCAGTGTGAGCCTGACCCTGAAGGTATGAAGGCAGGACAGGAGAGGGAGCACAGCATGGCAGGGGGGCCAGAAGAACGGGGTCAGAGAGCAAAGATGGATTTGTGTTTTCTTTTAATAAACTAATGGCTTTTTTCTTTTTGTATTCTTTTGTTATTTTATTTATTTATTATTGCAAGTGCAAACAGGGCCATGGGCTGAATCTTTAGGAACTTCGGTTGGGAACCAGAGGTTTGAGTCCCAAAATGGACCAAGCATAAAGTGTGGACTGGTACTTTAAGAGGGGCCACTTTGTCTCCTGGACACTACTGAGGTGCTATTGAGAAAGGAACCCCCTCACAGATCTCTAAACTTATACCAGGATGTATTCAATGCATAGACAACATGTCACAATATATGCATTGCTGTGTACATGCAGTGGCAGACAAAAATCTCAGATATTATAAATAAGTAAAAGTATAAATACTACAGTGCTTTCTCTATTTCCATCGTTTTTGAAACGCATTTGCAACATGTTAAAATACTTATTGTGCGTAATAGGCTATCTTAGATTCGTATATATTAAATGACTGAATTATGACTACTTATGTATTTTTGTTTTAATCACAGCTTTAGTTTATTTATGTTTTTATTAGCTAATAATCTAAATGTGATAAGTAACTAGTAACTAATCTTGTCAATTAAATATAGTGGAGTAAAAAGTACAATATTAGCTACCAAAATGTAGTGGAGTAAAAAGTACAATAGCTATAAGTTATAAAGTGACATCAAATGGTACCCCAAAATCTTACTTAAAGGTCCCATGTCATGGCCATTTCCACTGATCATAATTCCATTGTTGAGGTCTACTAGAATAGATTTATGTTGTGCAATTTTCCAAAATCACTTTGGTTTCTCATACAGCATCTCTGTAAACTACGTGTATTCACTGAATTTCACTCTCTGACTTTAACGGCTCGTTGTAGCTCCAATAGCTCCAGCCCCCACCCTCCCTGTGAGCACAGTGTGCTCTGATTGGTCGGGACGTTGTGAATCGCGCTGAGCTCCGTGGAAGTGTGGTTTCCTTGTTTAGCGACAGCGAAACACAGCCAAACTCACCCTGAGCACACACAAAGTCACAGCCGAAGTAAAAACAATAAGTGTGGCTTGATATTGAGTAAGAAAAAGGTTGATAAACGCTGTGAGAATGGGTCTACAGAGAGAATTTCGCCGCAATCCCAACTGTCTGTTATCAGCCTGCAGCCAGGGAAGAGAGATCAGCAGAGCTGCATGCACTGAGTGTGTGTATGAGGAAGTCCGTGGATTGGTCAATTTGGACCAATCAGCGGGGGCTTAACGTAACGGCTCCGTGGACGTAACATAACGGCTCCACGGATTGGTCCATTTGGTTCCGGGTAACGCATGACATCATGAGTTACCCGGAAGAATCAATGGACAGTGACGTATCTCCAACGAGGCGTTTTGGGGAGGTATTTTCTGTGTTAGAGTTTTACTCGCTACAGGGTGTACTTTGAGGGTTTTGACTCTGCAGACCGTTTACATGCAGAAAAACCTTTATAACACAGAAGGGGACGGGTAATAACCAGAAAAGCATGACATGGGACCTTTAAGCCATTTTAACCTCGCCAGTTTGAGATCTAAACCAACCTAAATCATTCTTAAAAAGCAAGACACAGTCTAACTTAATATAGTTCAAGCAGACCATGCACAATGTAACTTATTGTACTCTACACGCCTAGTTAAAATCTCCCCAACCTCATTAAACTTGACCCACTGCTTCCCATCCTGGGTCAACTTAACCCATTGGCACCATTTAAATCAACCTGAATCCAAACAAAACTCAACTACAGATTACTGCGGCAGTGTAACAACTTCTGAAGCTATAAGTGTTACCTCTCCGTTCTCCAGTGGTTGGATCTTTGAATAAAAAGACGTGCAGATAACTTCATCATCTCGGGTGTAGGATGGATTTCCGGTCCGCGGGTTGATGTTGAACCTCGTCAGGCACTCTGTGTCTGTCATGGCGTAGTACTGCCAGGGGTCAAAGGTGACGCCATCTATTGAACGCTCTAAGATCCAGTTACCTGTGGACAAAAATATGATGAAAGAATGATGATGAAAGGCATTAAACGTGTGATATGTAGATGGGAAATTATCAATAACAGAATGATGGAGGTCCAAGATGTGCTGAGGTCAAACTATTTAAAATACATAGAAAATTGACAGAACATTCAATTCTACATATTTATTAATAGCCTGGACCGAAAATGTGATATTCCACCTCCTGAATCGATTCAATGGATATTCATTTTTTTTCCATCCAAGAGACAATCAGACTGCATTTACCAAAGAAAAAGTTCCTGTCCAACTTTGTAAGTTTAGGTAAATGAAGGTTAAACCATTTATTTTTACAACAATATATGAAAACGTATAAATTGCAATAAAAATAGATACTTAAAAGAATGTCTCAAAACTGCGAAAGTAGAAAATGATGATGAAATTCGTATAATCCAAAAATCATCACTTTATGTTTTTGTTTTTCACAATACCTTTGGTCTATTTTATCTGTTAGAAAGGGCCTTTTTCCATTTGTCCAGCACAGTTTCACACATGTTCCTATTAAAACCCCTTAAAGGTCACTTATCGTGCTATTTTTAGGCAATAGCATAGGTCTCAGATATATAAAAATATATAAAA